CAAAAGACTAGATAATAGGTGAAAACTAACCAAACCTTATAAATAGAGAGTTCTAGTTTTGTTTCAGTTGCAACTAAAACAATTCAACAAAAGGTTAAGTAATTGGAGCCACATAACCAATGTCATAGGTCATAAGAATAGCGAATAAACGTAAACAAAAATTAAAAACCTCCTGAAAAGGATTAGCAATTCTTTGAACATGAAATTGCAGGCACTCCTTGAACTTCTATTGATTTGAGGAGGCCCAAGAATGAAAAGGTTTTTTAATATTATTCATAAGCTGACCTTGCAGGATGAAGGAATGGATTAAGCAAACAATCATGAAAATTGAATTGAAGTCCGAGTAGGGAAAGCATTTCAGAAACCAAATGGGAGGAAACAAAAATGGAGGCGCTTGAGGTTGGGTTTGTATTTTCTGAAATTAAGAAATTTACTGGATAGGACACATTTGGTTTAGTGATAAAATATCTCTTAAATTTTTAATTACTCATAATTTTTTGTTTAGAGGACATGGAAAACATGATAAAATAAAATGTAATTGTTGCATAACATAACTGATTTCTCTTTTTAAATTTATAAATCAATTACATACAATTAATTTCATAGTTAAACAAACTAGCCATTACTGAATAAATCAATGGGTGACACACAAAAAAAAAAAAAAAAGGCTCTACGTAAGGGAACCTCAACCAAGATACGTAACAGGAAAAAAAAAATTTCATTCCAAGCACATTAAAATCAATTAAAAGAGCAACAAATAGAAATAAAATAAATCACAGATGAAGGAATTTGTGCATGTTAGGATCGAATGCAGTATAACATTACATGTTTTTCGGTCTTCAGCGCTTTTGCTATTGTTCTCATTTATTCTTCTTAAAAAATTCGTCGTGACTTGTTTTGTTAGCATGGACTTAATTGACCTCTTTAAGAAAATTATAGGCAGATAGATCTCACATAAATTTATTTTATCTAAGAGGATATGACTTAGTCATGTCATAAGTGTGGTGATTGGTGCCAGAAAACATGTACGCACACAAATATTAAGCAAAAAGTGTAGTCAATTATAAGAACAGAGTAAATAACATAAAGAAAATAAAGACTAAACCTAAAAGAAGAACAATACATTGAATAGAGGATCAGTTTACTTGAAAGAGAGATCTGGGAGGAATAATTACGTAGAGGTGGGAGATTAAAGACAGATAGCAGGTTATACGGAGAGGCGGAAAACACAGAAGATATTGAAAAATGGGAGTTAATCATTTCTTCCAGAATATTCTAAAATGACCTAGACAGATTTTAGAAATATCTACATCCTATGGAAATTTAAGATATAATTATGAAGCTAATGTATGTTTCCAGACTATTCTAATTATTAGATGTTGAGATATTTTTGTTTTATTTTTCATCCAAGGTATATGTCTAGATTTTTGTTTGACATTCTATGTTCATCTCAGAATCAGACACAATTGGAAAAGTATGAATATTCTCAGATAAACATCCAAGGGGCATTAAAGACATTAAAAAGGGACATATCTAACTTCCACCCCAAAACACAGTACAACAATTCCACCAACATAAAGCAGGATTAAAGAAAATAGTTAGCTTAGTTTGTCATCTACAGAATCCATTTTAGTCCCAATAACATGCATAAGAGCCTTTGGATCAATCAATATCTTCACACCCTTATCCTCAACCAACTCATCAAATTTCCACTTTTCATCTGTCAAAACAACAAAAATTGTACAGTAAAAAGTCTTAATGCATCCATCTCCAACTCCCCTCAATTGAAAGGCATTTTATCCATGCAAAAAAGTAAACGCCTAGGAGGCTAAGTTTCCATTATGTCAGATACCTATAAGGTAAGCAAAATTCTTCTTCCTTGTTTGAGAACAAAATCCTGGTAGGTCTATTGGAAAGTCCATCAACAAATTGAAGTACAGATGAAAGTAAAACTTAAAACATAATTTTTGTGCAAAATTAGGATGAGTTGTTTTAAGAAATGCTGCTGCTGCTATTCGAACAACAAATTAAAGATGAAGCTCCAAGATTCATATGATAAAAAAGTCAGCTATTCATTCTGTATAAATTCTACAAACATTATGTCCCAATGTCGACCAGTAAAGCGGTACATCGTAGAGACCCAAAAGAAGCACTATAGATTGGATGAGTAATAACCTCAAGTTCTGTCTAACAGCATTCAAATGGGCAAGAGAAGCATAAAATCGCAATAGCATAGATTTGATAAGTTAAAAAATAAATGTTCCTTAAATTGCCTGTGCAAGGCTTAGACTACCGAACGGAGAACAAAACGAAAGATGGAAGAAAACAAAATATCTTTAACTTATTATACAAAATTACTAATTATTAATTTTTTTCATTGTATTTATTAATTTACCAATATTACTTATAAATTACATCAATTTATCAGGTAATCAATAACATTAGTTGTTAATTCATTAACTTTACTTGTTAATTTACCACCATTAGTTGTAAATTACTGACAGATCTTGTAATTTACTAACATTAATTGTAAATTACTAACAAGTCTTGTAATTTACAATTGATGTTAGTAAATTAACAAGTAAAATTAGCAATTTAGCAACTGATGTTATTACTTATGATTGAACAACTAATGTCAAGTCTTATATAATTATTGATATGTCAATTCATGTAACTTGCAACCCATATTCATAAATTAACAAATAGAGTAAGAAAATTAACTATTAGTAATTCTGCATAACAAGTGAAGGATATTTTGATCTTTTCACCATCAAAATTCTTTTGACTTTCCTCCTCTAGACTAAATTAAAATTTTATAATTTTTTTGGAACCGGTAATTAAGTTTCTACTGTGGTACTTAACTGAATTTCTTCCTTGATTATATTGACATTAATATCACTAAGTCTTACAAAATTAATTTCTCATTTATTTTATGATAAATTCATTTCAAGAGGCTAACATTATCACTATTAATATCATCAACATATCATCAAAGCAAAATATAAAAGCAGAAGAAAATCATATATAAGTCATAAACATAAACTCTTTTGTTTTTTTTAATTCTATACATGTGTCCTTTTATTTTTAAATCTTAATTTGCTAGGTGTGAAGAATTAGCTCATTTCATTGAACTTAACTTCTGTTGATAACATAGAACTGATAAGTTTATATAGATATTCCAATTATATCCTAATTTAGGTGTTTTTAAGTCTATTGCAAAAGACATATAACAAATGCATCATAAAATTGCATTAATTGAAGTTCACTTTCATATATTTGGAACATCTTTTATAGGCTAGTATGTAACGGTGAGCATTTGGTCAGTTCAGTTTCAACATTTTTAAAACCGATCAACCGAATTATATAACAAATTTGGATTGAATCGAATTGAAATGTATAATCGAACCAAATTTTGATGGTTCGATTTGATCGATTTATTTAATTCATAGACTTTGATTTGGGTTTATGAAGTTTAATTGATTATATATTTTTCTATCTAATTTGCCCAACCAAAAAATAGCAATCTTATACCATAATTTATGAAAAAGTTAATAAGACTCAGTACTATTGTATTAAAAACTAAATTATAGAAATAAAAAATTAGAACATCACATTAAATAAAAAATGCTACTGCTACATGTAGTAGAAAGATATTTCTTACTCACTTAAATGAGAATTTATTCACATTTTTTAAAATATGAAAAGAAACATATGTATAATTCGTTCGGTTTGGTTTATTTGGTTCAAGAATTCTCAGATCGAATTGAATTGATTAACCAAAATTTTTTTTAAAAGAAATCAAATCGAACCAAAAAATAGAATAGACCGAATCAAATAGATAAAATTCGATTCAATTCAGTTTGATTTTTGTTTTCGATTCAGTTTTGTTCATCCCTATTAGTATGTGGATGCATTTATTTCTTTACTCACTCATACTTTTATTTTTATTTAATTTTTTACATATTTAAATTTTTGAATATCTAAAGTTATAAAGTTTATCCTCCTTATTTTTGTCCCTCTTCATAACCTAATTTTCTTAACTAACCATCAAAGGGATTCAGATATTTACATTTATATGATCCGTTCCTCTTCAAACGTTCATTTCTTTAGAATAAATAATCTATAAAAAGATTCACATGTCATTATTTAATTGGATATAAACATCTTAAATATATAATGTTAAGAATATAAGCTTTCTCCTTTTTTTTTTCCATCATCCAAAATATATAACCACTTGAAGATGAGATAGAATCCTAAATTGTCTAGATATGAGACCTTAAAAGATGTAAAATGCAAAACCAAGTGTTAAATATCTTATTGGTAAAAATGCATCTTTAATCTTTTAATTTTATATAATTAAGGTTATATTTTAGTCCTTTAATCTTATAAAATATGTTTTCAGTTCTCTAATACTAACACCGTTAATTTTATTAATAGACAAAATCAACATTCAACTTTGATATATACTAATAAGTTGAATTTTTTAAAATAATAAAAAAATCATTACATTAGATTAATATTACTAGGATTAAAAGATTGAAAAATATTTTATAAAAATTAAGGAAACAAACTAAACTAACTGAAACCTTAGTATATAGTTAGATGACAAAAGTACACTTTTGCTTATCTTATTTAAGAACTTGTAAATTTATTTCAACGTGAAATTCATTTAAAAAAAACACACAAGAAACTTGACTGGCGTGCATGAAACATAAATTTATTTTCTAAATAAAATACAATTAAAGATTCATTTTTTGGTAATATATATATAATTAAATCTTTAAGAAAATAATTTTTTAAAAAAATTTATTTATATTACCAAAAAAAAAGGTATTTGGCATAGCTTTCATTAGGAGCTGCTCTGTAAAATTGGTAAGAAACCCCCTCGGACCTCAACGATGGATATCCCTATTTAAATTATTATTTAAATAGAAGCAGTTTATAATGAAGATATAATTAATAATATTGAAATGGAACATGAACAATCTATAACTGTTGAATATGTAGAAGAAGGCTATGTTATTTAATCAAACAATTATAGGGCCAAAAATACATCAAATAAGCTCATCCATAATCACTCATGATATTCCTTTAATACAATTATCTAGCTTTTCAAGCACTCAGAAGCCTTCAATTTTTTTTTTTTTTTTGTTTCCTGAACTTGTAAATGCATGGTTTCCTGGTCCCTATATGGAGTACACTCTGCAACTTCATTATAATCCAATGAAGAAGAAAAAGAATTAAATGTCATACAACAATTCCTGAAACACTTTCATATGGTCAGGCTGGAGAGAAATGGCCAAAGACAAACTACCATCATTTGATGAGCTTAGTATTATATAACACAGTCCCTCGTATGCAATCCGACCAGGTCCCATGAAGATAGGCCTTCCCCACCCAAAATCAGCATCATGTATTGGCAATCTAACCCAACTTGTGATACCAAGATTCGGACATTTATATGTATGAGCACCCCGAATAAGCACTTTCAGATTAGGTTGAAGCTTCAAGTAGTCCAAAGACGATCTCAAATACTCATCGTCCATTCTCACCAAGGAATTATGAATTTTGCTTGCGGCATACCAAGTTGGCTTTGACATGAGTTCACCTGCAAAAGCCATTGGTGTGGCTGTGAATATCGCATTTCCAAAGTAACCTTCTGGGAGGGCTGGCTTAAATCTAGACCTTCCATCAGTAGCAATGTACAGTTTGGTTTCTTGATCGTGGGGTAAGGCACGTGCCTTGCACACAGATTTCCACACATGGCCAGCCAAAATCTCATAAGAGCTATAGTTCATTGTGTTGCCATTTTCTTTACACTTAGATTTCAGAAGATTCAGTTGGTCACGAGTCATTTTGAACATGGATATAGCTGGTGCTGATGGTGGCGGCTGCGGCAAGGAGTAGGGATTTATCATGGCCGGAGGGGGTTTGTATTCAATGTGATCGAAAATCGGCCGAGGAGGGTCACGAGCTCGGAGGAGGGTCCGGTCGAAGAAGGGAGGGATGGTGAGATGATGAAGGGCACGAGCAATCTCAGACCATGTGTTGATGAAGTGAAGACCGGAATATCCATCCGCTACTTGATGTTGATTACCAACTCCAAGTGACACCCCTCCACATTTGAAATGCGTCACCTGAACAAATTTTGTCAGTTTTTACTTTGCAATCAATACAAATTTAAATATGGATTTAGAGCTTTGATCCCATATTGCTTTTTATTCCTAAAGGTTGTGTTTGGTTCAGGGCTTTTGCATTGCAGTCTACTATATGGTTGATTTTATCTCTGAAGTCTTTTTTAAGGAGTTGTGGACACCTTAAAATCATGATAAAATAAAATATAATAAATATTATAATGTTATAACACCTGAAGTCTATGAGAATATTTTTATATATAATATTTATGAAATATTATAATATTTATTAAAATAAAATATCATAACTCTTTGAGGGGCTCCGAGAATTCTTTTTAACTATGCAGAGGGATAGTGAGGTAATTTCATAAAAAAATTCTCATAGAAATCCATTATTGATACCTTAAAGTCATTAATTAGGCCATTTCAAAGTTCTAATAAAAATTTCTTATAGTTTATAAGGATTTTTTTTTGTTTGGTGATTCTCTCCATAGTTATTAGCATTATAATATATTGGAAAAATCACATTCAAAAACCTCTGAAAAATGTCCGTTACAAAAAAAGAACTAAATAATTTTGAAATCATTCTACATAACCAAGAGGTCTAAAAAAATTAAATTAGGTTGGGAAAAAACTAAACTAATCCTCATATTTTTCCTTTTTAAAAAAGTGAAATCCCATAGTCACCGGTGTCGAAGATCCTCTGCCGGTTGGCAGCACCCCGGTGAGCGGCAACACATTAATTCCCAAGGTGACCATGACAATGAACACACACACACACACACACACACACACACACACACAATGGAGGGGCTCGATGATAGCATAAGCTTTTGGTGGTCAAAGGGTCCTGTTTTCAAAACCCAATGGCCGCCTTCGGGATTTAACGAGTTGTTGAGCGGTAATGTGAGATTTCACCTTTTTTGTTCTTGCGAAGCGATTTCAAAATTATTTAATCCTTTTTTGAAATAAACATTTTAAGAGGTTTTTAATTAGATGCGATTTTTCCTTAATATATTTAAAATCTTCACATTTAACTTTCGTTTTTCTCACAAACTACCATCACTAGGCACCTGAGATTTTCTTAAGCGCGCGGCGAGGGAATTGAGTAGCAGGGACTGGAGAATCAATCAGAAAACTCATTGAATGGTCAATCTTCTTAAAGATTAAATAAAATGTAAAAACCAGAGTGAGGTCACAGGATGGTACCTGCACCACGACCAGGGGATAAGTTTCGATTCCACTGGAATAATCAACGGTGGGGATGAGCTGCCGGAGTTCAAGCGTTGGAGCGAAGTCTCCGAAATCGTCAATGACCATGTCCGTTTCGGCCTTCACGAAGAGGACGCCTTCGCCGTTGCAGTCAATTTCAATGCGGCCGTCATGGTCCCGGCGGAGCCGCCCGGCCATTGGGTAGAAAGGCACGAGAACCTTGCTCAGAGCCTCCTTCAGAACGTTGCCGTCGAAGAAATCTGATGCGCCGGCGGTCGGCCTGTAGAAGTACACGCTCGGCATGTGGATATGCATCACGAGCAAGTCGACGTCGGAAATCCAGAGTACCCTCCGCGGCGTCTTCGCCGCCGGTCGGACTATTGTCGACTCCTTCACGTTTATCACCATCGTCGACTCCAACCTGATCTATATATCAAAAGAACAACAAAAACAGAAAAGCTCGTTACTTATTCAGGAGGAGATATGAAAGAAAAGATGAGTTAATGGAAGGAATTGAAAAGGAGATTATGAAAATGGATCGGGAAAAGAGGATCAGCGGAAAGGTACAAGTTTTTTCTGGTGTGTGGAAGCGTATGGACGGAGAGCTTGCAAGGATAAGCAAGGGGACAAGGAACGTGAGAGCAGCAACCCTAAATTACCAACCTAGAAAAACTAATAAACAATGCAACTGACCATGGCCACGCGCATCAACAATCACTAACGTAACTTTTTATAATTTTATAACTCTTACTCCGAAAAAAATAATTTAAAAAAATAAATAAAATTTTTAACTATATAAAATAATTTAAAAAATTATCATTTAAATGATTGGGAAAATTTTTTCTTATGCACTGTTTTTAAAATTTTAAAATTAAATAAAAGGATTCAAAAGATATTTAAGAAATTAAAGTTCCTCTTTTATATATAGAATGGGAAATAAATGCTATAGGATTGAGAAATAAAAGGAATAATAATGATGATGTGTTAATTTTAATTATTAAATTATTTTTAATTTTGTATTTTCATAAGTTTTTTTAGATATATATACAGCTTATCTTTATAAAGAATGATGTTATTAAGCTAGTATTTTAATATGATATAAGTAAAATTTTGATGGGTGATTACTTTTAATTATAATTAAGCTAAGTTATTATACATAAATAATTATTTACATACAAATACAAATAATTTTTTTCGATGTTGGTTTGGTAGTTTTTTACTATGTTTTTACAAGATGATTTCATTAACTTTAACATATTATTAATTTCATTAAAAAATTTTATTCAATATGAGAAAACAATTTTTTCTTTTCAAACTACATATAAATTAGTTTATTATATATAGATAAATAAGTACATTAGGACCAACAACAATTTAGAAAGAGTTTAAGAAAGAGATTCCCAAACAACAAACATGAACGGCCAATAATTGTTGTCTTTTGACTTGATGCGAAAAAAGGTGGGGAAAACTGAGAAAGTCTTGGTGGAATAACTGAGCAAGACGAGAGGCAAATGGGCAAGAGTGATACCACTTATCCAGTACAATTATTGATGGGTAGGTTTGTGGGATATTTGAAAAAATAAAAATAAAAATAAAAATAAGTATCAGTGTTTTAGTGAAAATTAAATGTGACAACTACTTTTCCCTTTCTCCAAAATACCCCATTTTGGATGGGTGCTTTGAATTATATAGGGAGAAAATAATGTTAGGAGAGAAAATGACTAAAAATAGTAAAAAAAAATTATAAGTTTTGACAATTTTTTCTTGTATTCTACTCTTGTTTTTAATTTCCTCAATCCAAATCAAATATAGGATAATAGAGATAAGGGAGAGGGGAGAGAAGGAAAAAAAATTGCCTTCCCTCTCCTCGATTAATTTCTCCAACCAAATAAACTCTCAACCATTCAAGTTTAATTAAGTCCTTTATTAATTGTTGCTTGCACTTTCAAAAAAAAAATTATCTAATCATTTAAAAACTAAGTTATAATTGAATTATAAAGTATGGGGATTAATGAATCATAAAATAATTACTTTTTATAGTCTTATGTATAAATTACTTCAAATATGTTTTTAAGAAAAAAAATTTAGAACTCATTAACATTGTGTAAAAATTTAAGCTTTTAACTTTATCTTTGGTACACACACAATTTAATAATGTAATTTCTCTATTTTTAAATATAAGAAAAATTTAATAAGCTCATATAGTTTAAGAAAATTAGTTAATCCTAATATATATCTAAAACTGAAAATTTTGGACTAAAATGACCTTGTAATTTAATCCTTCATTTTACCACGTTTAATTATGGTATTATCATTTAATGAATGGCGATTAAGGAAAGATGTCATGAAAGTTGTTGTTTTCCTTATAAAAAATAAGAAATCATAGAAAACTTTTGCTTATATTTAATCATGATGTAGTATTTTCTATCACCAACATTTAATGAAAATAAAAAAAACTTATAATAAAAATTTGATGACATAATTTGTAAATAGAAGCAAATTTTTCTCTCTCTTATCCTTACAAATAATATCAAGGAGTGGAACTTTTTTTTTTTTTGCAAGAAAAAGAGCAAATTTTATTGATCACAAAAAAAATTACAAAGGCTAATAGCTAAAGAGAAAAAAACATTCCAAAAAAAAAAAAACTCTACACATACAACCTAACACACGAAAGCACACAAAAAAAAACCAATTTAACAAAAATAAAAAATCCAAGAAAAAGAAAAAAACCGATAGAAAAACAAAATACAATAAAAGTCATCAACCAATGCCTTTCCTTACAAAGATATATTTCTACTGACATCATCAATATTCAATGCTTTAGCCTTATCAAAAAGAAAAATTTGAGCTAAGGTAGATGGAGGTAACAACAACAAACCAATCGGTTATATCTTCCTTTTACCATCCATTGCCAGAAAATTCGCAACTTTATTCCCATCCTTGCAAACAAGGGACAAACAATAATTCTTCACAAAAGGCCATAAGCAACAAATATCATTGATAATGCCAATACTTTTCCGATCACAAGTAATAGCCATATCATCAGTAACAACCTTATATAAGATCTCATAATTCCCTTCAACATATATACTCACAGTTCCTAATTCTTTAGCAAGTAGCAGGGCTATTTTTAAAGCCAAAGCTTCAATCATCAAAGCTGAAGAACCTACCATTTTCACTTAAACCTATCACAAAGTTATCTAAATCATCTCTTTCAACAATCTCAGTATCACCACAACCTTTTATCTCATCAAAAGCTCCATCATAATTCAATTTCATCCTACCTTTACTAGGAAAACACCAAGGCAACTTCACTTTCTTATTTACATCAACCTTTCTCACAAATTTAGAAATCGGCACATTATTAATTTCACACAAAAGTCTGTCAACCAAAACATTCACCTCAATAGGATCAAAATTTTTACCTTCAAACACAAATCTGTATCAAAGTTTCTAAATATACCAACAGGTAAAAACTATTCTACACTTAATCGTATCATAAAGGTTGTTATTCATAACCCAAGTAGTATAACCCAATCTTCAATACTACTTACTAAGGATCTTTTAATTTTCCATTCAAGATGACCCCTAAACCAAAAATTTTTAGCCAATGAGATAACAAAATCATATGTTCCCTAGTTTCCTCTTAATTTCCTGAGATGGCTATTTATTCTGACTAATTTGAGAATGTCATCAATGAAGGTCCCGGATAGTCTATCAAAATCCTTTTCGGCATTAATTTTTAGAGCCACAAATCCTTTTTTTTTTGTCTTGTTTCTCATAGAATGTGGGAGTTTTGAATTGCCAAGTATCCATGGGTCCCCTTTTGATTGACTCAAGGTGCAGACATAATTGAAAATTTAAATTCCCTCATATGTATGTCTTAAATATTTTTAGTATTATGAAAATGTGAAATGTATATATTCACTTTTGATGTTTTATGCTTTGTTTAGATGGAAAGAAAACACAAGAGAAAATAAATTTTTACCAATTTGGATAAGGAAGAAAAAGTGAAAGGAAAGAAAAGTAATGAAAAAAATGAGGGTATGGGACTCACCATATTTCCTTCCAACTTTTCTCTGCAAAAGTGGATAAATTTTGGAGAAACATTTCATTCCAACATCTACCTTTTACTCTTCAACCCTGGTAGCAACATTATCTTTAGTGAGAGCATATTCTTCTTCTCCATTGTGCTCTTCGCTACGCTCTTCTTCTCTCACCTCTTCTTCGAAGGTTAGTTCTTCCCATTAGCTTGTGGCTCTGATTCTTTCTTGTTTTTGTGATTCATTTCCTGCTAATGTTTTTAGAACTGGACCGAATATTAAATGAAAAGGCCAATGGTTATATATATATATATATATAATACCTTAAATATAAGAAATTAATTAATATAAACTTGCTACTTAACTTAAAAATAAAACTAATATTTTAAGTTTATTATGACTTAATATGTCACATGATATAATATAATATTAAATAATTGAAAAAATGAGTCATTAAAAAAAGATAGAAAAAGAATATTTTTTTAACAGTTCAATTTTTAAAAACCGTATCTGATTCTCGGTCCAAAAGCTAGTCTAAAGTGATTTAATTTGACTCAACTCTTTAAATAATTTTTTCAGCCTAACTGGTCAATGGTTTCGATTCGGTTTAATTTTTTAATCATTGTTTCCCGCCATCATTCCTCCTCTCTCTCATCCCCATAGTCTCCGTTCTCACGATTTCTTCTTTCTATCCCCTTCAAGCCACCCTCTCCATCCAATTAGAAACCAATGCCTTCATCTCCAAGCACCAATCCAGCTTCCACATTGCGTCAAAGGAATCGCCAGTGACGTCATTGGGTCAGCCCATCGTCGAAGGAGTTCAATGTGGTTGGTTTAGTTTCTGTGTAATTTTAGTGAATGTTTTTTAATTGTTTAGTGATTGTGATTAATTTAGTGTAATTTGCCATAAATTATTTGATTTAAAAAAATAATATGAAAAATACATTTTTAACATCTAATTTGATCTTAAATTAATTTGATGATGTTAATTTTATTATAATTTCTCATTTATATTTATTTTTACAAAGATAATTACAAGCCTATTTATTTAAAATTTAAAAGTAGGTAATTTTTATGTAGTTTAGATATTTTATAAAAAAAAATTTTATTTTATAAAGATTTTATAAAACCAGACATTATTATATGTTTGGTTATAATAATGAAAAAGTAATTATTAGTTAATTATTTTTAAATTTTATGATATTTTTTTTAAATTTTTGTTTTATACAAATATCATATTATTTTAAAATTTTATGATATTTTTGAATATTTTGTTTCTTTAAAACACTCTCTCATCTATCGTATTAGATGATTTTCAGGAGCTACTCAAAATAGTTTTTTAAAATAATAAAAAAAATATGCTTTTTTTATTTTGACTATTTTTGAAAGTTTAAACAAATATCATAAAAACTCACAAAATAATTTTTTAAAAAAATAAGTGATTTTTTTATGAAATAAGCTAAAATAAATCAGCTTGCATGAAACATGATATATTTTGATAAACGATAGTCAAATTGGTTGTAAATAAAATATTTTATTAAACTAGTTAAGATACTAGTTTAATAATTTTTTGATTCAGTTGGATGAGTTGACTCAAATTTTCATATGCATATTGCATAGAAGTAAATATAGGGATTCAATAAAAATAATAAAATCTAATAACCAAATAAAAAGGTAAGCAAAATTATAAGGTTTGGCAGATTAGTTTTTCCTCTTTGTAATGAAATTAATAATTTTATATTTTAAATTAAATTAAAATATTATATGATTTTAAAATTAATTATATAATTTTTATGACTCATAATTTATGTCATCAGGTTATGTCTTCTAAATAAATTTTAAAAATGACCATCTTTTGGGAAAGAAAAGAGGCATCTGCACGGCCCGTGGGAGCCGCTGGTTTTTAACGCAAAACTACTTTTCCGACGTCAGATTGAGAGGCATAGCAACTGAAACTGTTTGCGATCATTCACTCTGTTTCATCTTTTCACCCAAGAGACAGATCGCTCACTCTGTATGCCTACTCCCTCTCTTCCTAGAACCCTAGAACTCTTAATTGTGCTTTGTGAAAACTTTCTTTATTTTGTACATGGTGATTTCAATCGTTGGCGTTTTGAAGTTCATTTTTCTTTTCTTTTTTTTTCTTTTTTATGGATTGGATGCGGGAATTGCTTTTCTGACATTTATATTGCATCTCCAATGCCTCTTCGTCTCCTTTGTTTTCTTTTGTGGACATATCTTTTTTGAGATTCTGATGCTTCGGATATCTTGTTTACAGGATTGCTTGGTACGATTTGAATAAGTGATGATCGGCAATTAAGTCGGTGCTTTTTTTTTTTTTTTTTGGGTGTGTGGGGGCACTGGAGTTTTTTCTTTTAAATGAAAAATAAAGCAGAGCGGACACGTAGTAGTCTTTCTGCTGTGTCTGGCTTTGATTCTTTGTTACTCCGTTTTGGTTGCAGTTAAAGATGGGCATATACCTCAGCGCCCCGAAAACAGAGAAGGCCTCTGATGATGGTGAGAATGACAGTCTTCGCTACGGGTTGTCTTCCATGCAGGGATGGCGTGCTACCATGGAAGATGCTGTAAGTACTCCATTGACTCAATTCATTTCATGAAATGGCAGTTGCAATTTCTGTGTGGCTATGTATTTTTGTTCTCAACACGCAACTGCATGATCAATTCCCCCCCACCTTGTCTTTTGACTGGGTATATCATATGGTAATGTTCTATTGTTAACTGCCACAATTACGGGTTTGGATTTTACTTTTGTGGGCATAAATCAAGTTCATGGAGAAAGTATAGTGGGTTTAAAACCAGTCTTGCCCGTTACCTGGTAATTAAGTGGTGAAGAAAAGGACGAACCCGAGATTGACGATTTAATTCACTGTGGCTGAAATAATGTTAAGCTTTAGTTGCTAGAAAGTTATGAAAATTTTATTTTATTTTATTTTTTCTCGTAAGATAAAAATGGAGTTAGATAGGTTGTTCTAGTTAAAGGAAGGGTGCATTGCAAGTGATGAATGTCTGCCAACAAAGGATCACTAATAGTAATCTAACTGAACTGCTGAAGATCCTTTGATCATGCACCTAGATCCTACCAGTTGAACAGGTCCTTGTTGGCTTTTTATAATCTTCCTGAGTTTCAAGTCTTGTTAGCGTTCTGTTTTCATCTTGCGCATTCAAGGTATTGTGATATATGAAACTTCTGATCTGATAAGATACGCTCAATAAGTCAGTTCATTTATAATTTATGCAATCTTGCGCTATTAAAATGATTCTTCTAATTTAACAAAATATTGTTGCTAAAAGTAAATACACAGTTGTGATAGGATGTCTGGCTGTCTGCTCAGAATAAGTTTTTTTTGGACTAATTTGTTACTTGTATTGAGAATTTTTTTCTGGCATTAATGGGCATGTAATACACTTGATCAGATATATCTTTTTAACCCTTCACAATACTTATTTACAGGATTTGGTGTAAAAGCTTCAAATAATTTTTTTTTTCTTTTAAATCTGGTAAAACTCCTTGCAGTTAGAAGTTTCCTAATTTGTTATTCTATTAATTGCTTTGGGAAGTTTGTAATATGCATGGTATTTTTTTGTTTTCTTAATGAACTTGTAGATGATTTTTCCATCATTAAAGGCTGTAATTAATAGAGCAAAAGTTCTACATCTTAGTTGCAAATCAGTAATAGTATTTCTTAATCAGCTACTGCTACGAACATGATACTGTATGAATAATAATGTTCCAGATTTTTTTAACATACAACATGCCCTTGTGCTTATATGAAAATTCCTATCATTTGAATCGAATCTTGCATGGACATGATGTTGATGATTCACTAACACCTGGGTTCAATGCTAGATCAGTAGCCTCATGTTATATTACAAAATTACAATCTATTAGACGGGGCATACAAAATTTTCTTCTTTTATATTGCTTGCCAGCATGCAGCCCATCTAAATTTGGACGAGTCAACATCTTTCTTTGGTGTTTATGACGGCCATGGAGGTCAGTATTTTCATTATGATCTTTTTAACAATGGTTATTAAATGATCAGAAATATAATCCATTTTAAATTATTCAATGTTTCAATGTATCGTTTTTAAAAAAATGTATTTCTTAGGGGAGAGTTTTTTCAACACTATATATTTATTTATTTTTTAAATAGAAGCCATTTGAATTATGTTAGACCTTTCTCTTATATTTGGAGTTGCTTGTGTCCACTATAAATAGGAAATCTTTTTCACCACGTGGCAAGCCGACAGCCTCAAGGGAGGAGTATTGAATGCTTGATCTGGCATGGAACTTGATTTTTTCATTCTTTAGTGAATAGATCCATACAGCCAGGGGAGTGGGGGTCGGATTTTGGTTTTTCTCTTTGTTTTTTTTTATTCTCTACCTGAATATGGTTGACTTCTATGATTCTTTGATGTTTGTGAATTTGTTCTGGAAGAAATTGATAATTTAATTATCCATTTTTGAGAGTTTCCTTGCAGAGACAGTGCTATTTTGGTTTTGACGAGTCTAATTGTAGTGTAATTCCAGTTTTGACAAACAAGATTCATGCAGCCTTATTATATCACACAACATCATAATGCTCTAAAATCACCTGAGGTCTAATTGAGTACCAGTAAATTGACACCTGGGGGCTTTTGGTTCATGTTTTAGATTCCCCCCCCCTTTTGTTATGCTTTGTCTGCTATAAATTATTTTCAGATTTCATTACTGTTGATTACTGATTATAGCTTTCTAAAGGGCTTAATTCAGTAGGCTGACATGTCCATCAGACCTATGTCTAGTATATGATTTTGAAGTCTTCCATACAATCTGCTGCTTTTCAGGTAAAGCTGTTGCTAAATTTTGTGCCAAATATCTGCACCGACAGGTTCTTAAGAATGAAGCTTATGTAGCTGGAGATGTAGGCACATCTTTGCGGAAAACTTTTCTCAGGTTATTATTTAATTTTTGTTTTTGTTGTTTATTGCGGCATTCAATCCTTGTAGCCGACCCTTTCTTGTTGTTTATGATCTACATTAATATTATATAATTCTTTAATTATGAAATCCTAAGGATGGCATTGTAAAGTAGTTTGTCTTTTTACTAACTAGCCCCAGGCTGAAGCATCATCATGTTGTGTTCTACTGTTTTTTGTGTGATGATCTGTTATGTTGGCAGCACAGATATTAAAAAAGTAGATGTATTTTTATCAGATACAAATCTGGTATGATATCTGTACCATACTTAATGATAAGAGTACAACATCTATATATATATATATATATATATTTTTTTGTCTCTCAAGTTGTTTCAAAACTGATAAAAAGCTTATAAAAAATCTTAATGATACAAATAAAAATGAAGGTTGACATTTAATTTATCTATACTCAGACAGATACTATTCCTTAAAAGTTTTAAAAGTTTAGCTATATTGTCATCAATGTTATACAAATTAACATGTCTCTGATTAACATCAATATTATGCAAATAATTTATTAAGAAATTAGATATATATGTCTCATTGAATGTGAAAGACCCTTCTAAATGATATTTTTGATGCAGTTGGATCTGATTCTTCTCTGATAAAAGGATCTATCTTAACTTTTAGTGGTGTTTTTCCGTCAAACAATGGAGTTTATAATTTGCCTAGGTTTCTTTTCTCCATAGGTAAACTTAGTTACACATTAAGAGTTTTCATAGATCTTAAGTTCAACAAACACAGAACAATGACTGGTGTTGGGATACAGTTATGAATTTCAGACATAAATTACTTAGTCAAATCAAAGTGTTGCGCAATTTTCCTTATCAATGGGCCCACCATTTTAGAACTATTTTGGGTGGTTTTTGGACAGCTTTGGCAGCAGACTGGTCGGTTTTTTCTTTTCTTTTGTTTTTTTTTTAATGGGAAAGGTGAATATCAGGGATGACACTCCTATATCACCGGCAGGGTCCACTTAAAGACTCATTGGCCCTTGAGTGGTAGGGGGTCTCCCTGTCTAGATTTGCTACCAATGCAAGATTTGATCTGTCATAGGTGAATTTGAACCCTCACCCAAGGGCACGTGTAAGTCTTATTTTGGTTTTTACAACCACTTGTGACAGCTTATTGGCAGCAGGCTAGTAGTTTAAAAACAGTTTCAATGTTGCATAACTGTTTTGGACAGTTTTAGGTATTTCTTTGGGCATTGGATGCCTTTATAACTGTTGTAGACAGTTTTGGGGCGGCTGAGGAGAGTGGCAGGTAAATTTTCAAATAGCATAGGGTTCCTAGCATCTCAAATAATAGGGAGTTTTTTATTCTCCTGCTCTTTGTAAGAACTACTGTTTCATTTCATATGAATTCCTAGTTCTCTGTTTTGGTCTCTATCACTTACATATGTCATTTTCTTCCTATTGAGAAAGAATGGATGAGATGATGCGTGGACAAAGAGGGTGGAGAGAATTGGCAGTCTTGGGAGATAATATAGAAAAGTTATCTGGCATGCTGGAGGGCTTTATATGGTCTCCCAGAGGAGGTGAAGGCAATGACCATTCTGATGATTGGGTTCATGAGGAGGTAACAAATAATAACTGCATTTGTGTTTTTCTTGCACAGTTGCTTCTTTTTCCTTAATTCTGATTTACTCATTCTGTTGTTGGACACACATTTTTGGGAAGATTTTAATGCCATATACATGGCCTTTAATTTTAGTGTATTAAACTTTTGGATTGGAAATCTCAATAAACTGCTCCATGTTTTTTCATATTTTAACGCATCAAAGAATTATCAACCACTTTTTGTCAAAAGCACTTTGGCATCTGTTATATTTTTTAAACAAATGGAAATTTTCAAGAATTGAAACCGTTTTAGTTTGAAGTTAACAGAGATGGTTATGTCTCTTGATGTTGATATTACATTTTGGTTACTTGCGCATTGATCTTTGTTGGAATTGCTTACTAGTTACTAAGCAAACTAAACAACATTTAATTCATTCCAATTTCCACCAGTTCTCCCTTTCTAAAATCATTGGATTCTGTGGATTAGGTTCCTAATGTTTTGATATCTGTGCTTGTTTCCAGTGTCTTCTAAATGTCTATATTATGGTTTTGGAGCTTAATGTATTCATATATTGTTAGTTTTTATGATATGTGGCAGTTTGACAGCAATTTACTTTTAGAATGACTTTGTAGACTGGAGAAATTTATCAACCGTTTCCATCTAAAAAAATATGTTGTGATGTCAGGCATATTCCCTTTTGATCCCTAGCATATAAATATTTTTCATTCAAACTGAGGGTGTGTAATGATGCAAATCAGGGGCCACATTCTGATTTTACTGGACCAAACTCTGGATGCACAGCTTGTGTGGCAGTCATTCGAGGCAACCGACTTGTGGTTGCAAATGCTGGTGATTCTCGCTGTGTAATATCAAGGAAGGGCCAGGTACCACCTTTCCCTCTTGAGTACCCTTTTTACTTAATTTGTAACATGCATGGAATATTGGGTACAGACATTGAGGGTGTAGGTGCATGATGTATCCAAACTATGTATGCTTTAATAGGTGTTGATGAGGGTACCAATTTGGAAAGGGGATATGAAGAGTGAGGAGAAAAAAGCAGTTATTTAAAGAATAAGAAAATGAGAAAGGTTGCCAATTTGCTGAGTGCAATTTATGTTGTTGGATGGATATTTCAGTAGCTATAAAATTGCAAGTGGTTGATTCACCATTTTTCATGCACATATGATTTTGCAACAGTTTGAAGAAGATTGTTCATTAACATGTCTTTACCCATGATGGTTATGTCATGAAATGATTACAAAATCTAGACATTTCTTTGCAGAGTCCAGACTGCCTTTTCTCCTGTTTGCTCCCTCTATGCATGTGATTTGGTTTGCGCTGAATCATGTGAATTTACTTGTCTATGACTTGGTGTCTAAAACATAGTTATTGTTCAGTATGATTCTGGTGTCTGATTCTTTGATGAAATTTTATCTGTAGGCACATAATTTATCTAAAGACCACAAGCCTGACCTTGAAGTTGAGAGAGAGAGAATTCTAAAAGCTGGTGGTTTCATACAAGTTGGGCGAGTTAATGGAAGTCTAAATTTGGCCAGAGCAATTGGTAGTTCCTTTTATCATGATTCGTCAATTTGTTAGTGTAAAGGAAACAATGAGGGACATTTTTTTATTCCCTAATCTACAATTCGTATGATCATAGATTTCATCTTTCACCCTACCCTTTTGAAGTATGAAATTTTACAGGAGACATGGAATTCAAGCAAAACAAGTTTTTACCTGCTGAAAAGCAGATCGTGACCGCTGATCCAGACATAACTTCTGTATGTACTGCAAGTATATAGTACTATTCTTTATTAACAGGTTGATCGTTGTGGAATGATTGTATTTGATATGAGCCTCTGGTCATGTTACACTGATACAACTTATATTTATCCGAGCAAAAATAATATTAAGATTACGTGTTTCATAGAACAAATATATTTTTCTTCTGTAGTCATCTAACAAGTTTTCATTGTTTTACAATTTTCTACTTTTTTATTTTTTAAACATTTTTCTGGAATAGGTTGAACTTTGCGATGATGATGAATTTCTGGTAATAGCTTGTGACGGGATATGGTAAGCTGCTTGGTTGCTGAAACGTCCTCTAGAAAGTCTGTTGACAATATTTAATTCTTTTTTTGGGCCATGGACGGTATCTAATTCATTTACATAAAAGCATGCCTCCAACAGATATGTACATATTTTTGCAACTATTTTCACTTCTTGTAACTTTTTCTATTTTCGTAAGCCACCTAAAATTATTAGTACACATTTGAACATAATTTTGTGACTGCAACAGTTAATTAAAATGTCACATGATCTAGCCCACATTTACTTTCTGAAAATTTGTTCTGATTTGATGCCCTGTTTCATTAGGGAATGTTTCTTCACAGTACTCTATGTTGACAATGTTACCTTTCTGTTTCTAAGATACTTAAGAAATCAAGATGGCTGCTCCTTTCTCTTTTGGTGATGAAATAGTTGTTATATCCAATGCTCTGCTATGTATTAAACATTGTTGAGTTTGATATATATATATATTTATATTAGGTTGGTCTTTCTATCAATATAGTTTAAGCCAATTTGATGGGACTTGCCTTAATGTTTTATGCCTTCAATTCATTCTTTAGTTAATCAATGTGGAATTTTTCAATACATTCTAATACTATGACCTTTATTGTTGGTCATGTTGTGTACGTAGGGATTGCATGTCTAGCCAACAGCTTGTGGATTTTATACATTCACAGTTGAAGACGGTAAGTTTTCTCTGGCCACATTGTTATGTTTTTCTGGATTTAAAAAACCTACTAAAATAGTACAAATCTCGTGGTCTGGTTGTAACACATTTATATCACTGCTATGTAGGAGGAAAAACTCTCGGCAGTTTGCGAGAAAGTATTTGATCGGTGCTTATCACCCACAGCCGGCGGCGAGGGATGTGACAACATGACCATGATCTTGGTTCAGTTCAAAAGGCCTTCAAGTCCTGATGATTCCATTGTGGACAAGTCTCCATCATCAGCTCAACCATCCAAGGATGATGAGAGTTCAAATCACCCATCTAATGGCGAAAGAAGTTTAGACCAACCAGTCTAGTTTCAAACTTCCAAGGCTGGTAAAAGTTTATCAGAATCAAAGCGAGAAAGAATTTTAGGCCCAAGTGAGGCCAGATGGTCTGCAATTTGTTGAAGCAACCGAGAGAAGGAAGAAGAGTGATTTTCAATCCAGAAATGAAATCATGATGTTGTTTCTCAAAAGCGAATTGTATGTTTTAATTCTTCTGTTTATTATTGGCTTTTGTACATAGGCTTTGATGTTTAGAATACCGAATGGCAAAAAAAGAGGGGGGAGGGTGTTTGGGGTTGTTGAGCAGGCCTGACAGGGAGCAGTTTCAAGGATGATTGAAGTTATCTTTAGGAAATTCAATCACTTGAGGGGCTTTAATTCTGTGTCTTTTCCCCTTCAAATGAATACGTAAAAGTAAGGCCTGGAGCCATAAGATGTTGGTCTAAGCCATGGAGGTGAACTTGGCAAAGGATTATGATGTTTTCTGCATTCACTTTCTTTGTGAACTTAAAACATCATGTACGCTATTGATTGCATTTGTGTCAACCACATGTTCATTTGATGTCCTAATTTTATATGATAATGATAATGAAACTTCTAGCTATTGATTTGGTTCATAAAAGTTTAATTTTTTATTACTTCTGTTTTTTCTCTGTTTTCTGAAGTTATTGCCCGTTAGTCCTTTGTGTTAAAAGCCTTTTCTCATTTAAACCTCTCCCTTAACTTGAATGCCATCTTAAGGTGTTGCTAAATGAATGGATTTTATCAACGTGTATGAATAATAAATTATAGCATGGATCGAATTGCTACAAATTAACTTTCAAATTAATATGATTTATTAAGTAGATTAAAGACTTGACATGTATATACAGTCAAGTGAGAACAAATTATAGAGGTCTTTTGTTTTTTAAAAGTGTAAATGAGTAAATTATTATCTAAATTTTAGATCTAATAGTACTAGAAATTCTGAACTCATTTATTGTGCAGATTGTTTTATTCAACTTTTGAAAACAGTACAATCTGGCTTTTGTGGTTGACAAAAGTTAAATTTGACTATTAGTTGATTAAAAAATGATAGAAAAGAATATCAAAATTATAAAAAAAAATTACAACAAAGGATTCAAAAATTACAGGCAATAATGAAAACATGCCTTATTTCATTATATGAGGTCAGCTATATAGATTGTATGACATTTTTGTGATCTATTTATTATATACCAAACTTTTAAAAATGTTGATTAAAAGATTGTGGTTAACAACTTGCAAAATTATAGACAAGGACAGAGAAGTTTTTTTTGTCATTTCTATAATTTTTTATTTCCTTTTATGTCATTTTCTAATTAACTAATACTTAAAATTAACTTTTGTTAATGGAAGAGGCTAGATTGTACCCTTTTAAAGTTGAGTGAATAATTTACAAAATAAATGAGTTTAGAGTTTATGGTGTTATTGGATTTAAAATTCATGAGATAATTTACTCATTTACCCTTTTAAAAATCTCTTAAATTGTTTTCCTTCTTTTTAGAAAGATGTCTAATTATACTTTTTTTTGTATTAATCTATATACCTGTCAACTCATTATATTATTATTCATGGTATCGGATTTTAACATTGTTATATACTTTTCAAATAATAAAGAACAAATCAATAAAAATTAAACTAGACAATTGATAATTGAGACAAATTTAAGAGACTAAAAATTTCATTATCTCTAATTTTATTTGGTATTGCCCCTTTTTTTAAATATCATCATTCGTCTCTATTTTGATTGAAATTGCCCCTTCTGTCTTTAGGAGTAAATGAAAAACCTTTTAAGAATATTGATTATATTATAGGTTGGCGTGCAAAGTTTTAGAAATTTCAGAAAGGGCCGAAGTCCTTGGTTGAAACTAAAATTATTTCAGATTTGTTGTTTTAGTACTTATCTTTCAATTTTCCTGTAATTAGTTTTGATTTTTTTAAAAAAATTGTACTTAATATTTTCAATATTCAACTTTTAATACCCATCTTTAATCAATATTGAAAAAAATCAAGATGAATGCTAAAATTGTCAGAGGAAGGTATTAAAAAAAAAGTCAAGATGAGCATCGAAAACTGAAAAAAAAAGTACTGAATATTATTTAAGTAAAGAAAAGATCAAGTTGAATATAGAAAAATTTTAAAAAAGGACTGAAAAAATCAGTCCAGAAAATTAAGTCCATATATATGTATATATAATAAAGTTACTGATATCTACCTCTTTACAACTCATTTTTTTTTTAAATTTATTATGACATCTAATTATCATTAAATGGATCTTTTGAAATTTAACATTTCTATTTTGAAGAGTTAACATTTTTGTCGGTTGTGCAGCATGGAACTCCGCCTAACAGGGAGTGAATCGGGTTTTATAAAAATTTACTAAATAATAATTAAATACAAAAGATAAGTTTAGAGAGATATCATCGAACACCAAAAAGAAAAAGGAAGAGAAGCTTGCATAGATATTTATCCTGATTTAGCTCCAATCACTTGAGCTTATGTTCAATTCTCAAGTTCTGCTTGAGATTTCTCTACTAATTTTACCAAGATTAATCCAGGCTCTTGGTAACTATAGTACAATCCTAGGTTTAAATTAAAATCTAAATTACTCTCCCTTCCAGAGGTAATGATATAATCCACTTAAACTGCCCAAGTTTAAGTTTCTTTGTTATGAGTCAGAAAAACAGAGGCAAACAGAGTATGTTCAAAGATGAACAACTACTATTAAATACTCTCACTTGGAGTTGATATATAATCAATGAAGCTTACTCGTAATACATATAAACTCAAAAATTTGGTAAACAATAAATATGAATGTCTTGAGTTTGTTCATGTTCATTCATCTGTTTACCGTCTTCATAAATGCTTGTATTTATAGTTGGAGTTCGTAAAAGATCCATTACACTCATGGATATAGTCATTAGAGTCATCGTCTTTTTTTCTCTGAGTTGTTTGAGCAATTGTTGAACTGAGGCAATGGAACAATGTTTTTTCGACGAAGCTTTCTCTGTTACAGTAAATAAGAAAAATAACAGCACTTTTCATTAAATGTTTTGACAAGGTAGGTGAGAGATTATTTTGGTAGAACAAAGCTATTTGATGATAAGTAATTTTTGAATAAACTCGAGCTATGTTTATAAGAACCCTGAAATGTGTTTAGAAAGCTTATAGATAGTTTAGATAACATGCATTACTCTTAAAAGAAGGAAAGAGAATGAATCATGAGAGCTTCAATTAACCCCTATTTTACTTGCATGAAATAGAGCACAACGCGTTAGGCTTATTTCAAAATAATAACATTTATTTTGAAATAGAGTAGAAGCTAATATGTAAGAAGGATTAGACATATTTTGAAGTAAGACTTTTATATCAGAATATAGTTACGTAAGCGTTACTTTGAAAATCAGTATTTGAAAATATGAAGTGCTATTACCAAATAGTCTACTCCTAAATAGACTAGTCTTGAATAGCTTATTCTTGAATAAGAAACTTTAAAAGAATGCTGAGTAAATAAGCTTTGAAGAATAGAGGATTATTCCAAAATAAGAACAACTATTCCTAATTAAGCTATATTTGAATGGACATGAGAGTTGATAATTGGAAAAAGGAGAATTCACTTAGGAATACACTATTTCGAAATAAGTAAGCTATTTCAAAATAAAGGCCATTGGATTTGAAAAACGATAAAGGCTCTTAGACTTGAATTATGTATTTTAAATCCACTTGAGACACCTTCCAAGGAATATAAGTGGTCCTTAAGAAATAAAAATTAAGTCAAATACTCAATCTTTAGAGAGAAACACAATATGGATAGGTTTTAAAAAAAGCTTACATGTTTTTTGGCTATTTGAAAACAAGACACATACTTGAGAATAAGAAAATATATGGCAATAAGATGCGAGATTCAGAAACTTAAATCAAAGTTAATCAATTTCCTTACAAGCCATTATTTCTTGATTATTAAAGCTGTTAAATACAAACTTATCTTATTTTATAATCATCAAAACTAAGGTTCAATACTACAACAATTATCTTGTATTGCAAAATGGGCATACCTATCAACCCTATTTTGATCTCATTGATGAAGTTTGTTTGCTTTTTATACAAAGATTGGTGTATGTCCGTAGAGTTTATGCAAAGGAAAGCAAATTTTTATGCTCATTATTTAACAAGTAATATTTCAAACAGTAGTGTTTTCAAAATTGAATTGATCAAGGCGATCAAATTGGTCAAATCGTCACCTAGGCATGAAGATGACTCAGTTTAACTTATTGAACCCTTTGGAGAGTTGACCCATTTTGAATCGCTTAGAACTAAGCAGCAATGATTAAAAAATCGGACTGAACCAGATGATTGGATTAGTCAGGCTAATAGCTTAGTTAAGCCTAAAAATTTTTTTGGGGAGTCGAGTTGGATTAGGCCGCTTTAGATTAGAGGTTGGACCGAGAACCAGGATCAAACGAGTAACTGGATTCAATTTTCAAAAATCAGACTGTTAAAAAAAATGCACTTTTTCTTTTTTTATCAATTTTTTTAGAAAATGACTAATTTTTTTAATTATTTAATGTTATGTTGCATTATGTGGCTTGTTAGATCATAATAAATTTAAAATACTTGATTTTATTTTTAAGTTAAGTAATAATTTCATATTTATTTCTTATATTGATATAATTATATACATATATATGTTTTTTTAATTTAATTATTGTGTCACTGGTTCTACTATTAGTCTAATCTAATTGGACTATACGAACTATGAACCGCCAACCTTTTTGATTTGATATCGAATTCAGTTTTAAAAACATTACAAGGCAATTTTGAGTGAGCAAGAGTTAGATAGAAACCTAGAGTTGGAGCGGGTTGAAAGCAGTTTTAATAGTCGTCTGAATTCATCTTCTGATTCCTAAAAACCATTCTTTGACATCATTTGAGATTATTTTTCGTATTTTCCTTTCTTCCCTCAAGCTTCGATTGATCATTTCAACACTGCTCCACTCTTCCCATCTGCAACTCGCTACTCTTCTAGTCCACTGCTCTTTGTGTGACTAAAACCTGCTGTGATCCCGTCTTGGTTTTTCATTACTCTAACCTTGATTTATAATCTTTTCTCTAATCTTTATTGTCACCCTTCATTTATGGGAACGATTAACTAAAGCGAAGAAAGAAAGTTCAAGAGACATAGGCAAGAGACAGAACCAATGGAGGGAGGACAATAAAGCCTTAAGAGTGAATAAAGTCAAAAACGAGAGGCCAGAAAGGAAGGTCTTTGGAGTCAAGAGTGAAGGTAAAAGAAGTACCCGTTTGAATTTTAATTAAATATAATAAATTATAAAAATAATTAATTAAATGATAGATTTTAATTTTAATTAATTATATTATAATGTAACTAGTTTGGATATTATTTTTTTAAAAATAATTTTAAAAAAAATTAAAGATATTTGAATAATTTATTCAGAATCAATTTTAGCTGTGTAAATTACCATAAAGAACATTGCCTTTCAAAATTAAATTATTGATAAATTTGTATCTAATATTTAAAAAGTAAAATATATTATTTAAATTATATATATGATTAATTATAAAAATTTGAATTATATTAATATTAACAATTTTGATTTATATAAATAAATAACTCAATATATCTTAGTTCAAATAAATTTAATAAAAGAGAAAGATTTAAATCTTAAATATCAAATATCAATTTTACAATAACTAATGAAGATAATAATGTATAAATTAATCTCTAATGACATCATGAACATAAATTATATCTAATAAAGATGTTAAGCATTGCTTAGAAATTTCGGCAACATAAAAAATTTAGCAATGTAACAAATGATTCAAAATCTCTCTCTCTCTCAACTTTTACAATAATCTTTGTAATGACCCTCAATTTTAAATTAAATTAAATTAATCTTTCTCTACCAATATTATTTTATTTAAATTAGTTTTATAGCAAGTACTAAGTGAAGGGTGATAGTTGGCAAGAACTTATTCTAATAACTTTTTTGAGTATCTAAAGTTTGAATTTTATTAAGAAAAAGAAAAGAAAAGAGAGTTTAATTTTATTTTTATTAAATTTTGTGCCTTTTTTATAATTTTTTCTTGAATTTTTTTTTTATAATTTTCCCCATATGCCTTTGTGATTTGAATGCATAAGCTGCTTGTGATAGCTTTGCAAAAAAAAAAAATTAATTAATTTTTTTTTGAAAAATTGACATTTGAATAATTGATTGTAAAATTGATTTTTCGCCTCAAAAAATTGATTAAATGAGCAATCCAAACATGCAAGAAGTGTATCTCATGCGCTTTGGTGAAAGAAATCCCACAATTAATAAATTATATTAATATTAATTAATTCTATTGAAAAATATTATGGTAGTTATCAGTTTTGGGATTTCATCTTTATAATAAATTAATTCATAAGCCTTCAAGATAGAGGATTAAGTTAAGTTAATTGTGGGATTTAATTTCATCTATCCTATAATTGTAGCAAAAAATTTTGATATTATGATTTGATTATTATTTTTAAAATAAAAATCACTACAAAATTTAAAGTATGAGCAATGAATCATCTTCTCATTCAACAACAACATTGACCTCGTCTGATTTCTGTTCTGCATTGAAATGGATCATATAGGATTTTGGTCCACCAGGCTTTGTTTGATTTGATCATAGTCATATAGCATTATAATTATTTTTCAAAAAGAAAAAAGACTAACATTGTTAAATTTAAAAATGATTCAAAAGTGATAACAATTAACTTTATTTATAGGATAAGAAATGAATAAAAATTTGCATAGTTTGAATTGATTTTAAAAAGTAATTTAAATGTATAAAGTTATCTAAGTTTTGCCATATTTTCAATTTGAATGTTTTTATAATTAAAATGACTTCATGATAAGAAGACAATGATCTAACAAATAAAGTAAATGCCATCTTTTCTTTTGCCTGTTTCTTTTCCCTACAAAAATATTTTACAAGTCTATCCATTATGTTAAAATAAATATAGCTACTATAGTATTTTTTTTCCACTTTAGTATGTCAAAATAAATAAGATATAGATAGATGCATCATTGCGTCGGCTAAAAAAAATTAGAGACAGATGTAACTTATTTAGAAGGATATTACCTAAATTTTGTTTATCTTATAAGTTATAGGACGACTAAGGATTTACAGAAAATAGAAGGGGTTGAATTAGTAAATTCATACCAACCAGGAATATACCTCCAGATAAACCAAAAGAACAATCTCCCGCGTCCAATTCAGACCAATTATGAAACAAAACGGATAAAGCCCAGGAATCTCTCTCTTCGTCAGCAAATTTTCATCTAAATGTGTATAAAAGGTCCGAGTTTTGTTCTCTCTTAAACAATCAACATAATTTCTCGACGGATATTTAATATCTCGCCTTCTTCTTTAGATTCTAGTGGGTTTGTTGTTTATCCTTTGATCTATTCCTCAATTATATTATTTAGTTTTCGAGGAGGCCACATTTTAGGGTTCAAACACGCCGTCTCCATCAAAGACCAATAAACGTGCGTGCCCTTTGATCCATTCTAAATAAAATCTTCCTTCAGAAAAGATCATAGCTTTGTTATTTATAGCCAAAGATTCTTCTGGGTATTTGTGGGTTTTTTTTTCTCTTCTGATTTTGGTGATTTCTGACGAGTTACAATGGCTGCTTCCGTTGCTGGAGGTATTGGTAGTAACAGGTCATGTTCTTCCTGGATTCAATTTAAAAACAGTGAAAAGAAGCAGAAACGATTGAACAGAGTTAAGATTTCGTGTTCTTCCTCTTCTTCTGTGATGGATCCTTATAAGACCTTAAGAATCCAGCCTGGTGCCTCTGAATCTGAGGTTAAGAAAGCTTTTAGACAGCTTGCCTTGCAGGTTTGATTCTCAATCTCAATGCCATAATTGTTATCCAGAAGTTTAGGTTGTTGTATGCACGCATGATGTTTGATATTTGGCTTCCAATTTGATTTTTCGTTTTTGGGTTTACACTTCAAAGTTATTCCTCTCACCAATATCGGGGTTTGGTTATATTGGGATTTCTTTTTTCTAATGGAAAATACTGATTGGTTGTTTTTTTTTTTTTAAAAAATTATGCATCAGTTCCATCCAGATGTATGCAGAGGAAGCAATTGTGGTGTACAGTTTCACGAAATCAACGAGGCTTATGATGTGAGTTATCTTAATCCCTTCTCTCTAGAATTTTCATAGTTCTGTAGGTGAATTGAATATTGGTTAATCATTTCTCTACACTACATTGAAATTGAAAGAGAGTGAGAGAGAGAAGAGAGAGAGAGAGAGAGAGAGAGAGAACTACTGCTTCTGAAGGAGCTCCTTATCGAACTCAATGGCTGTTCTGTGATTGTCATATTTTTGTTTTTGTAGCGAATTGAATATTTAATATTGCATCAGTGGCACGTATGATTCATTACTCATTGCAGAACCATAAGAGTGAAGATAAGATCAGTCAGTTGATGTCTATATATACTTCCTTTGGTCTTAATTATATATTTAGATTTGTTAAAAATACATAAATTTCCAATTTCACCCATTTTTGGGATCATTACCATAATAAATTGATGTATAGGAGTTCAAAGGATGCTAATAACTTATTGCAATTAAGGAGTTTTAAGCACCCACAATTTTGCCCTATAATTAGGATTGTCTTCAAAATTTTGCCCCATAATTAAGACCAGGGAGAGCATATATATGTATATATCTAATTACTAGACATCCATCTTGCTTTCACAAATTTGCGGTTTTATGTTTATGTGAAAATGAAGCTGCTGAAGATTGAAGAAGTGAGTAGGAGTTAATTGTTGAACAATTTGCAGTTGATTGTTGGAACTAATGTTGAAAGAGAACAGTAATGGAATGGTTAAGTGAATGAAACTTATCTCATCCAAGGCTTACACATATCTGCCACACACACACACACACACACACACACATACATGATTTGGTCATGTTATTGTTGGTTAGTTGAATTTGAATGAAAGCAACAACTTACGTTGAAAATGTATGGTGGCAGATAGTGATGGAGAATTTGAGAGGAGGAGCAAATGGAGTGAAATGTATGGTGATGATGAAGATGGAGAGAATGATGAATCAATGAGAGGAATGAACGATCCAGATTGGGACTTGTGGGAAGAGTGGATGGGATGGGAAGGAGCTGGAATCCGGGACTACTCATCTCATATTAATCCCTACATTTGATCATTTTCTCGTCGCTTTGATGGCTCTCAATCTTCACAAGCCATGTTAATCCTCAACCAATTCAAATTGGGGTGAGATGTATCTAGTGGTTGATGTCCTCACTAATTCAAGTCAAATTGGATCCATTGGTTCAGATCTATTGGTGGTTGGTGTTCTTACTAATTCAAATCCAGTCAGGTTGATCAGATAAGATCATATGTATATGGTGGTTGGTGTGATTCCTAATTCAAAGCTCAATCAATGTGTATGGAGTGGTTGGTGTTTGTATATAGTGTCGGTAGGTCGAAGGTCACTCTCATCTGATCAATAATTGGAGCAGAGTGAGCAAGTGACTTTTTGTGTATATATATGAATTATGAATACATTTCAAAAAGGCAAATCCATACTTTCATTTTCTTCATTTGGTTATGTTTTCCCATCAGCTAGGCTAGGTGCTATATCATGTCATATATATATATATATATATATATTATTCTTGTAAATTATTAAAACTTGAGAGAGTGACAAGTGAAGTAGACATGACCTATGAATTATAATTATTACAGATAAGGGCTGTAAAATTTTTAGAAATTTCAGAAAGTGACATGAGTTCGTACCCCACTTGCTTTTCTGATCCTTTCTTAACTCTCGTTGGCCAGCTGGGGCATAATAGGTTTTCAATGTGTAAATGGTGTGAATAGTAGTGAGGACAAGAAGAAATGTAGCTGCCCCAACTTTGAGGAGCATCCACGTGTCAGGAATGAACTTGCTAAACACAAAAGCCTAAATAGGATTTTGATGGTGTATCTGATCCGAGGTCCTAGCAGTTCCAGAAAACTCTGGAAATGATGCCACTTCATGGTCCGCCATCCTGTCACTGGAACACCATGCTGCTTCACTGCGTTCAATTGCACACACATAGCACTGTATCTATTATCCATATTTTCAGCCCCGGCTGTGATAATCTGGAACAAGGCCAGTTATTTCTGGTCGCTGATCCCAAAATCTCCATCTGCTACAATAATGTTCTTTGATTTAAGCAGTTGGATGTCTTGAACAGAACAGACTAGGCCTTTTGAGAAAATGCGCGTAGGAGGTGAACTTGTAGCTGATTCCTGTTAATCCGAGTTGCTCCCAAGCAATGAAATTCCTCCACTTCTCTTCCGTTCCTTCTTTTATGCACAGCTTCGGGATTATCAGCTTCTGATCCCTTTGCTTAAAATCTATATAAAAACCGAACCTCTCCACAAATTCCCTCAGTGCAGAAGCCACAATTCCTTGTTTTGTTGTCTGCATTATGAGCGAGATTTTAAAGGTGAATTACTAATTAAGTGATAATTCAATAGTAATGAAGATAAATTACTTCAACATTACTGGTAGAAGCGTTTATAATGGTTTGCGAAGTGGAATGAATTTCGAGTCCCACAGCTTGGAGCTCCGTGGCGCAGCGCTTCAGTTCTTGTTTAGCTTTCATGGATGTCACGTCTTTGGTCATAGGGATCTGGGGAGCACGAGTGCATGAGATGAAGGAAATGAGAAACACCCTTGGAGAAGCCAGCGCTGGCAACCTTGCATCCAAAGAGTGACTCGGCAAGTTTTTCAGGAGAAAGTTCTTTTTCTGGAGAAGCTTCTAGTGACAAAAGTTCGAGAACGAGGAAAGGGATTTGGTTCTCGAGCAGCGTAAGATCAGTGAGAACACGTAAGATCTTTTTCTTGCCGTCGGTAAAATCCAGAGAAGGATCACTCTGATTGCGACGGAGCGGCGGATCTGGGATGACATTTTCGTGGAGTTTGAGCAGAAGCTCCAAGAGAAAGCAGCCATCAAGTAGCATTATTCTGGCAAGCTCCTCTGCTCCCAATTCCATTGTCTCCCCATCGGCATAGCTGGCTCGAATTATACTGTCAAAGCCTATCAGTAGCTCACAGCAACTTCTAAGGGTCATGCACTGCAAGTTTCCAGTGGGACGCGAAAGAAGATGGTGCATGTAGCGCCATTTGGCCTCTTCCATGATTTGCAGTTCGCTTTTGGTTCCCCTGTGAATGGGTCCCATGGCTGCAAGTTGAGGCCTGGAACCGAGGCCTGGAACTCGTTGCTTCTCTGGAACCCTCCAAATACTGCACGTCTTTACGTTGTTTTCATTCATGAATTGCAATATCATTTCAATCTTAATGATCCATTCATCGTCTCTCGACCCTGACATTAGGCCTTATACGTACGATTTATTAAGTTTATTAGTCAAACCAAATTTTCAAAATGAAATAGAAAGAATGACATGCTGGGTATACTGGGAAATTCATTTCAATGTACAATGAACATGACTACTTTAGTTATACTTTATTGATAAATAAATTTACAAAAAAAAAGTAATTATTTTTTATTTTGTTTTAATCAGTAGTCATTTTTTAATATATAATAATCATTGAGAATAAATATGATATTTTGTCAAAAACCAAAATGACACAGGCTGGAGATTGAATAATAATTATTGCATTTCATGATAAGTGATATTTTTTGGCAGAATGAAAATTCCCAAAAGATTGAATTAATGATGATAAAGTTTTTGACAAAATTTTTAAGAAATGAATTATAATAAATATCAATTTACACAGTTACAAATAGAAAATACTGTTATAATCTTAGATATATATATTTAATATTTAAATACTTATTTATAATTGAAACTTCTTAATGTGTAATTATTTTGATTGATATTTTTAATTTATTTTTTTTAAAATTTTTTTTGATAATTTAACTATTATTAATTCAATATTTTAAAATCTTACTATAATTCTTCCTTTATTTTTTTTTTTGGGTCATTATCCCAAGTTTAAAATCCATGGTCTATTAATTTGATTTGAAAATGTATCTTTAAGCAATTACTCCTAGTTTGGCTGGAGAGACTAAGGAGGCCATACCCTTCTTTCCAAATTAGGGATTTTAAATATTTAAGCTGTTAATTTTATTATATTTAATATACTTTTCTCCAATTAAATTAAAACAAATGAATTTTAAAATATTAATAATAATTTTTAGGCAATAAATAATATATAATAGATTCATATGTCTTATTTTAATAAGAAAACAAATACTTTAAGTAGACAAGATTAAGGGCATATTTGATCTCTTTTAAAAAATAAAAAAAATTATTTTAGTAAGTATATTGCATTTAAATGTTTTCAAAAGGTTCTCATTTTTTGTTTTTTAAAAAAGATGGAAACAATTTAAATTGTTTTCACTTTTTTTATTTTTTAAAGCACACTATATTTGACTAATATAAATTATTTTCAATTATCATCAACCATATTCCATTATTTTTTTTATAGGTATCATAGGTTATTATTATTAACCACTAGCAACTACCATTATCCATCATTTTCTAAATTTTAAATTTTTTTTCAAAATTAACATGGTCTTTCATTTTCTAAATTTTAAAATTGTTTTGAAAAAATAGTTTGTAAAAATTGGTTTACAAAATAGTTTTCAAAAAATAAAAAAAAATATAATTTTTTGTCCCTCTACTTTGCACAAGTTTTTATACAAGCCTCTTACTTTCTTTTGATGTTCCAAATTCCTATACTTTTTGTTATCTATAACATTACTTTTTATATTTTTAGAAGGACTTTGATGTGATACAAACAGTGTTGAAGATACTAGCATGTATTAACACCATTAAGTTTGGAGAGATTTTTATACAGACCTGTTGCTTCAAGTCATCTATATTTTATTTAATAAAATTTCATCTATTCAATCAAATAAAAAAAGTTACGTCAGATAATAAAATGCTGACCTGGAATTAAAAACAAAAACCCTCTCAGTATCAAACGATGAGCAAATCTGGGAGAAGGGCCAAGCCAAAGATAGTCAATCCAACCGGCAGCGAAGAGGGAAGCAGATGTGGGTGAAGGAGAAAGGGCTTCTGGGCACAGAAGGATTCAGAGCAAAATTCCCATTATTATATAGAAACAGAGGGCCACGCGATATACTTGACTTGATGATCGGAAAAGTTGGAAGAGATGAAAAAATCAAAAAAAGACCAAGGGGGACGCGCTTGTTCAGCAAAAGATATAGTTTTTTTATAATGTTTGAAGACCTGAATGGTTAGACCAGTCGAACAATCATTTAAAAAAAAAAATTAATTTGGTTCAATCATTTGACTTATTTGAAAGTTGATCTAAATTGGCTTACTTTGATTTGAGTGGTTTCTGAAGATCTAAAGTAAAAATCCAGAACTCAAAGTAGTTGAATCATTTTAAACCATTTTTAAATATATATATATATATATATAAATGTTATTTTTTATTTAATTATTATATTATTGATTTAACCATCAGTCTAACCAGTTGAATCATGAGACCCGTAACTCACTAATATTTTTGATTTATTGTCTGATTCGTTTTTTAAAACATTGGTTTTTTTGTTATCCCTCCACAAACATGCTAAATTTCAATTCATTCCCAATGAGGACAACATAGAGGATGTGCAATCTCTTATGGAGACCCTATTTGCAGATGATAAATTTAGCTTTGAATGAGATTGAGATCAAACGGATCTGACCAGAAAAAGCATAGCTTGTGAGTTCGAGAAAAAAGGAAATTAAAATTGTTCTTTTTATGCTTCCTGCTCAACAATGTAGAGAAGTCGACATAGAATAAACTATTTTATTTTTTTATGGATGGAACATAATAGAGGATTTAAACTATCTAAAATAAATAAATAATATTTTATTATCTCAATTGAAAAAATATGAGAAAATTACCTTCTATCTTCATCTAATGGATTGTATTTGATTTTTTTTTTTGCTAAAGTTTTTTTTTTGGCTGAAGTTAGTATTTTTTTATGATATGATAATGGTTACTGTCTTTTTTTTTTTTTTTACTGAATAATGGTTACTGTCATTTGTTCTTTCTTTTTATATCTAATTAGTTTTTCCCCACTGAGCTTGAGTTTTGAGGCTGCCACTGCACATAAAGTCATAACCTATCTTTAGAGTGATAATCAACACAAAAAGTCATCCTAAAAACCATTTAAGTCACATCCCATGTATAAAACATGTACCACAAAACATCTCATATTTCCATAACTACAAGAAGTTGACATTGGAAATCAAGGTTGATTGTTCTTTGGAGGAGTTGCATTAATGGACTTAGAATGCCTCAACTTCGTTGCAGGTTGCTTATTGAGATCCTTGCAAGTCCTTCAATTGTGTCCCTACTTCTCACAACTTGAACATTTAAGATTTGTATTTTCTCTTGTCATCTTCGTTAATGTTGCATCCTCATCTACCCCTCTCGTTTGTTTCCTTAAATGTAGGTGGCTTTTTTATGGTCTTATAGTCACTAAACAAATAGTTGTCTACAAGCTGCATTTCTTAATTTCATTATAATGATCGTTCATATTATGATATTGCTCCTTGTAATCGTCATCAATTGTTACCCTTGCCTTTTTCCTTGCCTTGAATATGCCTTTCACATAGACACATTAACCATATAACAGTCCCTTAGTGCAACAATAATATCAAACAGTTTAATGTTTTTGTTTGCCTTCACGATGCCAACTATCTTTCTTGAAATCAACTTATAAGAAGCCATTTTCCCATTAATGGACAACTCACATGTGTGTTTAGACCCAAATGTCTTTAAACAATATGTCAATTGATCAACAACTTTACTCACAAGAATTAACCATTTGTATTTCTTTTATACACACTTAACTCGACACTGCACCTTATCATTCTTTATAAGCTTCACATCCATTAAAGTAAGGCATATTCTCTTAGTGCATCCTTAAACTAAGTGAAGTAAACTCTCCATGCCTGACTTGAATTGAAACTTTTTGTGCGTATCAGAAGGTTGTATTTTTCATACTTACCTTCAGGCACACTCTCATGTTGATAGGATTCAAGATAGGTAAAGAGAATAAGGAAGATAAATTTTTATTAAAATATGAAATTATAATCTTTTTTTATAACAAAACAAGCAGCAGGTTAGCTGCTTATGCTAATACAGTCTAAATCCAAAAGCAAATTAATATCCTAAGTTATGCTACGTTTATAGAAACCTGGTCATTTTTGAGCTGTTTGCCGAGCTAATAAATCAACAACTCTATTGGCCGTGCGATACACATAAATGAAAGAGACTTTCCACTCTTGTTGAAGCATCGATATGATCTCTTCCAATGGCAACCTGTCTTGCTGAAGATTGAAATCTCCTCCATTAATAAGCTCCATCACTTTCTGTGCAGCTGAGGCAATAATTATCATATGTTTATCCAATTCCCAAACAAAATTAAGTCCTATTAGTATAGCCCAAGTCTCCATGTTGAAGCTATCCATAACGGCATGACTGTGTGTGAAGCCTTAAATAAAATTGCCTTGGTGATCTTAAATAACACCACCACAGCCTCCTTTCACAAGAGTAAGAATATATGACCCATCTACATTAACCATGAACCAATCCTTACGGGGTGGAAGCCATCGGTTTACCTCACTCCTTGGTTTGATTCCAAACCAGTTCAACTTCCTGCTTTGAAGAGATAAATCCCTTAAGCTTTTGAGAACTGCAAATGTCTCAGTCATGATGCCTTCATTTAATATAGACTTGCCTTTGAAAATTCAAGCATTCCTCAGCTTCCACAAGAGCCAGCAGATAGTAGTGAATATGGCACTCTAATCCTCAATTGACTCATTCCCAGAATATCTTAACTTCCACCTTAACTAATCCTTTAGGCCTAGAGAGAAAATATATGACGTTTCCCAGGTTTCACCATACCTCTCCATAATTCATAAGTTAGTGGGCAATCTCAAAGAACATGCATCAAATTTTCATTCTGCAGTAAACAACATGAACATGTACTATCGTTTGTCATCTTCCTCTCGCACCTCACCACATTTGTGAGAAGCCTATCATGAGAGCACAATTATAGGAAGGTCTTGCATCGCTGAGGAACTGTAAGCTTCCATATTCTATTCCAAGAGAAACTGGTGTCCTGTTTGGATGGATAAATAGCATTATAAGCAGTTTTGATAGTAAACAAACCGTGTTTTTCCCATTTCCATTGAATATCATTGTTGCCTGCCATCTTAATTCCTTCCTCAACCATATGCCAGATTCCCTTAATTCCCGACCAAAGATTAGAACTAAAGTGTTCAGTATCAATAATAGGAAGAAGATTCGTAGCATACTTATATTTAGCTTTAACAACACGTACCCATAAATCATCAGGCTTTTTGATAAGATTCTATTCGAGTTTCATCATAAAGGCTTGGTTCTGACCTCTTGCATATCTAAGACCTAGTCTTCTATATTTCTTCAATTCACAAACTTTATCCCAAGCAAGAAGGTGGCTCTTCTTTCTTTCATCTATAGAACCCTATATGAATTCTCTATCACACCGATCTGAGGAATTACAAGTGCTAATCGAAAGCAATAAGGTTTGCATGGAATAACAAGGGATTGCCGAAGTGATAGATGACACAAGAGTTACCCTTCTAGCCATCAACAAAGCAGAGGCCTTCCAACTAAAGAGTCACTTCTTAACCTTATCAACCACTTCACCAAAAGTCTCCTTAGTAACCCGTTTATGATGGAGATTTACACCAAGATATTTACCCAAGTCATCTGTTCTAGAGAAACCCAAGAATGAACTCAATTCTTCACGTTTGCAATTATGAATATTATTAGAGAAAAACATTTTGATTTTGCTAGCATTCACCTTCATTTCCGAGCTTGCACAAAAGCACTTAAGTAATCCTTTATAACCATAGCTTGAGCCATAGAAGCCTCTGCAAAAAGTAAACTATCATCTACAAAAAAAAGTGGGAAAATAGAAGGGTCAGTTTTACCTAACTTAATAGGCTTCCATTCTTGCTTTGCCATTCCTTGCTGAATAAGATGAGCAAGTCTCTTAATACAGATAACAAACAAGTAAGGAGAGATGGGATCTCCTTGACGAACCCCTCTGGTAGGAGTAAATGAATCAGTCCTTTTGCCATTCTAAAGAAGTTGCATAAAAGTAGGCACACCACATAATCAGTTCAACCATATGACTAGGGAACTGTAACTCCTTCAAACAAGATTGCAAGAACTTCCAATTAACTCAATCATACGCTTTTTTGAAGTCAATATTAATAGCCACAAAACTTTTTTTCCCTCTCGTATGCCTCATAGAATGAAGCAATTATTGAGCCACTATGATATTATCAAAACTATGTCTGTTAGGAACAAAACTACACCGATTCGGAGAGATAATACTCGATAGAAAACTTTCATATGAGAAGTAACCAGTTTAGTAATTATTTTATACACCACATTACACAAACTAATTAGGTAGAGATCTCGAATAGTTTTAGGAGGTCTCTCTTTGGGATCAAAATAAGTAACGTCTTAGTAAGATTAGCAACAACTGGGAGGTTCAAGAAAATGTACTTAATAAGTCTACAAACAGGAGGTCCCACCCACCACATTCCAGTTCCACTCATTCTGATAAAAAAAAAAAAAAAGCTCCACAACCATCAAGCTTCGGAGCCTTCATACCCCCCATTTCCTTAATAGCCTCCCAAATCTCTAAATCCGTAATATTTCGACCAAAAGTAGTAATGACATTCTCATCAATATTCAGATATGAGATATTACACTCAAAAGGTGGAGAATTTTTCGTATCATTTATAAATATAGAGGAAAAATAATCAATAGCCATACCTTGAAGTGTGCGTCATCATAAATCCAAGAGCCTTCATTATTGCATAAAGCTCCAATTTTATTTGCTCGACATCTATTATTGGTTATAAAGTGAAAGTAGCATGAGTTTTTATCACCAAGGAGAGCACAATTACTTTTAGCTTGCTAAGCTTAAAGAATGCTATCTTGTATCATTACTGTTTCCTGTTACAACCTAAGTTGCTTCTGGAGCTCCTCAAGATAATTCTTGTTTCCACCATTACCTAAAGCACAAGTAATTCCATCAAGCCGAAAGATAAGTTCTTTTTTTTTTCTTTTACTTGCATGC